CATTCTAAGGGAAGTAAGTTACTAGATTTGCAGATGCACCAGACACTGCAGAAGTAATGAAAACATTACCTCAGAAATACAGAAGTAAACTTGTGTCTCAAGAAGAAATTGAATTTGTCTAATGTGGAGATCCAGAATAATCACTGTGGCTGCCGTTTGTCATCAGACAAAAGAATTACCTTTACAATAAAGGACTTCTAAAATAATAATAATAAAAAAAAGACTGTTTTTTAGAGCAGTTTTAGGTTTAAAGAAAAATCAAGCAGAAAGTATGGAGAGTTTCCATATTTCCCCCTCCTGCTAGTTTCCTCTAGTATTAACATCTTGTGTTGGTATGATATATTACAACTGATGTATCAGTGGAGGAGTGTTACATTATTACTAACTAAAGTCCATACTGTACATGATGGTTAGGTCTGTGTTGTACAGTTCTACAGGTTTTGACAAATGCATAATGTCATGTATCTACCAATATCATACAGCATAGTTCACTGCCCTGCAAATCTCCCTGGGCTCCACCAATTCTTCCCTTCCCCTTTCCTTCTCTCAGCCCCTGGAAACCACTGATCTTTTCACTATTTCTGTAGTTTTGGCTTTTCCAGAATGTCACATGGAATCATACAGTATGTAGACTTTTCAGACTGACTTTTTTAACTTAGCAATATGCATTTAAGGTTCCTCTGTGTCTTTTGTGACTTGAGAACTCATTTCTTTTTATCACTGAAATACGTACCATAGTTGTGCATTCATTCATTTGTTGAAGAACATCTTGGTTGCTTCCAAATCTTGGCAATTATGAATAAAGCTGTTATAAATATTTGTTAGCAGGTTTTGTGTGGACATCTTTTTAAAAAGATACATTTTATTAGATTAGGAGAGTTCCCTTTTACTCCTAGTTTACTGAGATTTTTTGTCATGAATGGATATTGGACTTTATCAACTGTTTTTTTTTTCTGCACTATTGAGATAATCATATAACTTTTATCCTTTATTCTGTGAATGTGGTGAAGTCCATTGACTGATTCCTTAAAAAATCTTCATAACAGCCATTGATTGATTTTTGAATGTTAAGCTGCCCTTCCATTCCTGAAGTAAATCCCAATTGGTCGCATTGTATTTTCTTTTAAATATATTGCAGGATTTGCTTTGTTACTATTTTGTTTAGAATTCTTTGTATCTATGTTCATGAATAAAATTGCCTTTTGATTTTTTTTCTTTTCTATAATGTTCTTCCTAGGTTTTGGTTTCATGGTTTTTCTAGGTTTTGGTTTCATGGTTTTTCTCATTCTCATACAATGAGTTGGGAATTGTTCTCTCTTTTCCTTCTCTCTGGATGATATTGTATAGGATTGACATTATTTCTTAAATTTTTGGAATAATTCAACAGTAAAGCCTTCCAGACCTGAAAATTTCCTTATAGGTAGATCTACAGTTCTAGAATATTGATTTGGTTCTCTTTTCCAATTTATAGTTCTCTACCACAATTCTCAGTTTAAAATAATTTCCTTAAACATATTTAGAATAGTTAAAGTCTGATAACTATTATCTGGATCTTCTGTGATTCTGTTTCTGTTATCTGTTGTTTATTTTGGTTTTTAATCATGTTGCTTTGTCTTTTCATGTGCTGGTTATTTTCTTTCATTTGCAGAATATTGTGTTTTAAAAATTGTGGAAATATTTTGAGACACAGGATGATGTTATCTTCCTCTAGAGAAGAATTTCACTTGCTTGTATAATTTGAAGCAGGATTCAGTCCATGCAAGTACTGGACTATTTCTTGTTTATTCTAATTCATAAGGTACAGACCTATGAGGTCCAAACCCAAAGGACTAGAGGTTTAGTAGGTCTTCCTCTTCTTGGAAAATCGTAAACTCAAACTGTTGTCACTCTAGCCCTCAAAACTATTGGAAAGCCCTTCTCTTTAAGGTTAAGGGATGAGCGAGTTGCTATGGTATATCCTTATCAAAAAGTAGCGTGAAGGATCCGTGTGGTGATGGATCTGTTCTGTATCTTGAGTGGGGTGGTAGGTACATGAATTTTCACATGATAAAATAGCATAGAACTAAATACACGCGCACACACACACACAAATGAATGCATGTTAAACTAGAATAAGGTTGGTGGATTGCATCAATGTAAATTTCCCAGTTGTGATATTGTATTGTAATTATGCAAGACATTCCCACTGGCAAGAGAGGATGACGAATACATGGGAAATCTCCATATTATTTCTTTTTTTACGGTGTAAAAATTATATATATAACATTAAATTTACCATTTTAACCATTTTAGGTGTGCAATTCAGTGGCATTACGTAAATTCACAATGTTGTGCAACATCACCAATATCCATTTCCAGCACATTTTCATCATCTCAAACAGAAACTCTGTACCCATTAAACAATAATTCCCTGTTCCCCCCGCCTCCAGTCTCTGGTAACCTCTATTCTACTTTCTGTTTCTATGAATTTGCCTATTTTAGGTACTTCATATAAGTGGGATCATACAATACTTGTCCTTTTGTGTCTGTCTTATTTCACTTAGTGTAATGTTTTCAAGGTTCATCTATGTTGTAGCATGTATCAGAATTTCATTCCTTTTTAAGGTTAGATAATATTCGATTGTATACACAAACACACACGCACTATATTTGTTTATTCATCTGTTGATGGATACTTGGGTTGTTTCCATCTTTTGGGTATTAAGAATAATGCTGCTATGAACATTGGCATACAAATATCCAAGTTCTTTTTTTTTAGTTCTTTTAGGTATACATTTTAGAAGTGGAATTGCTAGATTGTATAATTCTATGTTTAACTTTTTGAGGAACCGCCAAGCTATTTTTCCACAGTGGCCACAGCATTTTTCATTACCATCAGCAATGCGCAAGAGTTCTAGTTGTTCACATTTTTACCAACATTTATTATTTTCTGGGTTAAAAAAAAATAACCATCCTAATGGGTGTGAAGTGATATCTCATTGTGGTTTTGATTTGCATTTTCCTAATGACTAATAATGTTGAGCGTATGTTTAAATAGGTGGGGGAAAACTTGCCCCCGTATCCAGTTGGTTTCTGTGGGTTTCTGTTTCATCCCAAACCTGGCCCCTTTGTTCTTCACTGTCTTTTTAGGTCACCAGTCCTTCAGGCAGCTGTTTTAAACATTTTGTCCATCATTTCCAGTTGTTTTCAATGGGGTAGTTGATCCATATGATGTAATCTACCATTATTTGAAGTGTCTTTTGGTTTTGCAAGAGAAAACAATTGTAAATATAATTAAAGTCATTTTTTTAAAAGCTAGTAACTTCTGAAGCCATGGTGACCTTTTAGAAAAAAAGCTAATAACTCTTTATGAATCTTAAGAATAGCACTAAATCTTTACTCACTAAAAATATTTCTGCAGGCTACAGAGATCGTATAGACTAGGTATATGGGAGGAAATGATGCAGTTTGTTCTCCATCCTACAGTATTTCAGGAGAGGAAAATGGGCTTAAAGCACTTACTGTCAGGAAAAACACACTTACTTTATTTGGGTCTCCTGCTTAAACATCATTTCTACAGAGAAGCTGTGTTGGGAGTTCCCAGGATCACACCTAGGTTTGATGATTCATTAGGAGGATTCATAAGACTCAATATAGGTTGGGCGAGGTAGCTCATGGCTGTAATTCCAGCACTTTGGGAGCCCAAGGCAGGAGGACTGCTTGAGCCCAGGAGTTCGAGACAAACTTGGGCAACATAGGTCCCATCTTTATTAAAATTTTTCAAAAAGACTCTATATAGTGATGACTATCATGTAATCATGACTCATGATTACAGTAAAAGGATCAAAACAAAATCAGCAGAAGAAAAAGGCGCATGAGATGCAGTCTAGAGGAAACCAGGTACATGCTTCCAAGAGTCCTCTCCCAGTAGAGTCACAAAGGACATGTTTAATTCCTCCAGGAACTAGTGACAACATGTGTAAAATGTTGTCTGCCGAAGAAACCCACCCAAGCCTGCTTGTCCAGGGTTTTTACTGGGGATGAGTTATATAAGCATAAAACCCCTACATGATGACACTCAGTTACTGATGTTCCAGATGCTCAAGGGAATGGAGGTGTTCATTATAAATCACATTGTTAGCATAAACTGTCTGGACAAACTACTGCAGAGTCACTTAAGGACTGGCACATGCAAGAACACTCTTATCAGGCAGAACATCCCAAGAACTCAGTTCCCAGTAACCAGCCCAAGGTCAGTCATGAAAACAAGTCATTCTTGAAATAGTGCAGGGTCTGAGCAACCCAGGCCTGCAAAGTTGATCCTTTTCCACACAGAGGTCTACCTGATCAAATCTGAAGAAGGAAAGCACCCCTTGTTACTCTCTAGTTTCTTACTCTTTGTTATATAATCATTTGTTTACTTGATGCTAATTAAATAACACTTTTTTTTTTCTTTTTTTTGAAATGGAGTTTCACTCTTGTTGCCCAGGCTGGAGTGCAATGGCACGATCTCGGCTCACTGCAACCTCTGCCTTCCAGGTTCAAGCGATTCTCCTGCCCCAGCCTCCTGAGTAACTGGGATTAGAGGCATGCGCCACCATGCCCAGCTAATTTTGTATTTTTAGTAGAGACAGGGTTTCTCCATGTTGGTCAGGCTGGTCTTGAACTCCAGACCTCAGGTGATCTGCCTGCCTCGGCCTCCCAAAGTGCTGGGATTACAGGCAGGAGCCACCGTACCTGGCCACAAATATTTTCTAATTTTTAAATTTCTTTATTATTCCTCCACTAGAATATAAATTATATGAAGTCAAAGTCTTTGCTTTATTCATGACTGTATCTCCAGTGTCTAAAACTGCTTGGGCTATAGTAGGTACTCAACAAATATTAAGTAGATGAATGAATGGAAATTATCATTTATTTAAATATTTAGGAATGCCAATGATGTTGACTGGATCTAAATTATTGGGACATACTGTTACCGTATGAATGACAATTTTCATCTCTTTCTTCTTCCCAAACAGGTCTATAATTCAGCAGGCAGATCTTTCCCTCGAAGGTTTGTTTTGCCTTTAAATGTCAGTTTGAATGCCCCTGAGGGAGACAACCTGAGTCCATTGTCCTATACTTCAGCCAGTGCTGTGAAACAGGCTGATGGAACGGTATGCTATGAACAGACATTAGAGTAAGACTTTGAGCTTTAGTGGTGTTACTTTATTCCTTAGCTGTTTTCCAAAATGTTTGGTACCCAATAACTTTTATAACATTCATCCGAGCAGGGTAAGGTCATGTAACATTGCTTGCACAAGAATTGCAGAAACAGTGGGAATGAACACAGTGTTTATCTATCCTTCCTGTGCTTTGAAACAGAGATATGGAACTGTCTAATGGTTGTGGAATGTCTATTCATTTGAGCTTGACATTAGCAATCCCCACCTTTTTTAATTTTTTTAAAATTTTTTTAAATTTTTTTTTTTTTATTTTATTTTTTTGAGACGGAGTCTCGCTCTGTCGCCCAGGCTGGAGTGCAGTGGTGCCATCTCAGCTCACTGCAGCCTCTGCCTCCTGGGTTCAAGCAATTCCCCTGCCTCAGCCTCCCGAGTAGCTGGGATTACAGGCACCTGTCAGCACACCTGGCTAATATATTGGTATTTTTAGCTAAGATGGGGTTTTGCCATGTTGGCCAGGCTGGTCTCGAACTCCTGACCTCAGGTAATCCACCTGCCTCAGCCTCCCAAAGTGCTGGGATTACAGGCTCGAGCCACCGCGTCCAGCTGCAATCCCTACCTTTTAGATAATATGTGCTTAGCACAGGTCTATCATTGTGTAGCTGTCAATGCCTTAGCTTTAGAAGAATAAAAAGCATATGTCTACCTCCTATGTCATTTGACAGCTTATTAATAAAATTTGATAATCATTATGCATCCATACATATGATGGAAAGAGGAACAATATTAAAAAATGACGTAGAACCTCAGTTCCCACGCCCTGTCACAAACCTTTATAAGTATGAGGCTCCTCACTGACATACATAAGAGGAAAATAAGAATTAAGCAACCACTACAAATCCTTTTGAAATCTCTTTTAGATCTGGTGCTCTCATGAAAATCTACATCAGGAGGACCTAGAAAAGGAAGGAGGCATTGAATTTCCTCAGATCTACTATGGTCAATTCAGTGGCAAAAAGTATCGTTTCTTTTATGGCTGTGGCTTTCGGCATTTGGTGGGGGATTCTCTGATCAAGGTTGATGTGGTGAATAAGACACTGAAGGTGATGAAAAACTCTTTCCTTTTTGAACTTTTCAGAAACCTGTTCTTCCCTTTGAATTAGTTCTATTTAAAGTAGATCTTAAGATTCTTCAGTATTTAAGGAGCTCAGCCATTTTCTTTTATTGAGTTTGAGAACTATGAAATCATCTAAGTTAGGGGTATGTTCCTTCTAGGGAATCCAAATTGACCCCAAGCCCAGCAAAATAATTCTATGTTTGATCTTGATGTTATTTTGGGGGCAATTGTGGGGTTAGGGTTGTTGGGACACCTATATTTAAAGTAGATAGCAAATTATAGTTACACAAATTGTGTTTGATGGTGATGGAATCTGGGACTGCAAAGACTCCCTCTCTTTCTCCTATATTCAACTCAGTAGGGCTGATTCTTTTATTTTTGGATTATTCTATTGACAGCCTGTGTCAGTCTGTTCTGTGTTATAAAGAAATCCCCGAGGCTGGATAATTTATAAATAAAAGAGGTTTAGGTCGGGTGCGGGGGCTCACGCCTGAAATCTCAGCACTTTGGGAAGCTGAGGAGGGGTGGATCACAAGGTCAGGAGATCAAGACCATCCTGGCCAACATGGTGAAACCCTGTCTTTACTAAAAATACAAAAATTAGCTGGGCGTGGTGGCACATGCCTGTAATCCCAGCTAATAGGGAGGCTGAGGCAGGAGAATCGCTTGAATCTGGGAGGCAGAGGTTGCAGTAAGCTGAAATTGTGCCACTGCATTCCAGCCTGGCGACAGTGCAAGACTCCGTCTCAAAAAAAAAAAAAAAAAAAAAAAGAAAGAAAAAGAAAAAGAAAAAGAGGCTTATTTGGCTCATAGTTCTGTGGGATGTACCAGCATGGCACCAGCATGTGCTCAGCTTCTGATGAGGCCTCAGAAAGCTTACAATCATGGCAGAAGGCAAAGGCAAAGGGGCAGCCTCATGTCACATGGTGAGAGAGTGGGAGCAAGAGAGATAGGAGGAAGGGCCAGCCTCCTTTAAAACAACTACCTCTCAGATGAACTAATAGAGCCAGAGCTCACTTATCACCAAGAGGATGGTGCTAAGCTATTCATGAGGGACTGGCCCCCATCACCCAGCCTTCCCACTAGGCCCCACCTTCAGCAGTGGGCTCAGCACTTCAGCATGAGCTTTGGAGGGGACACACATCCAAACTATATCACAGCCAAATCCATGCTTGAAGTGACAAAAGCCATAGAAAGCTCCCAACTTACTACCGGCCTTTTATCGAATGCTTTTTTTGGGACTTACAGGTTTGGAGAGAAGATGGTTTTTATCCCTCAGAACCTGTTTTTGTTCCAGTACCAGGAACCAATGAAGAAGATGGTGGGGTTATTCTTTCTGTGGTGATCACTCCCAACCAGGTAAATATATTTCCCTATCACTAGTCAGAAAGAAAAGTAGCACTGAGTCATCTGATAAGTCAAGGATGCACACTCATCTGTCGATAGTTTACTTTGATTCCTTTTCCCTTCTCTTCCCCTTCTTACTATTTACATACCCTTTTGTCTCAATCCATATTTTGTTGTTTTAAAGTTCTGTTTGGAAGACCATAATAACAATTTGTATTTGCATAGGAATTTGTTATTTATGAACTACTTACACATATTCAGTTATCAAAACAACTTTGTGGGATACCATTTTATACATGTGGAATTTGTAAAGAAGTTGAAGTAAACTTGCATCAGATCTCATAGTGGTAAAGCCAGTATTTAAATCCAAGTCTTTTGACTTCTGGTCTAATGTTTATACCATCATGTGTGCTGCCAATTTCAATGAACTGACCTCCAAGTCCAATGTCATCAGTCCTGGTCCAGTGTCTCAATAACACTATTCACTATCTGACTCCTTGTCTAGGGCAATCTTATGGTAAATAGGTTCACTTTGAGTATCAGCTTTGATTAATTATTAGTGGCTGCCTGGGGTGCAGGGCTCTGAGGCCTTTTAAGGGTTCAGTAAGAAAGGCTGTGATCAATTAGCGATACCTGTCATGGGCTTTAGGAGGACTTTGTTCTCATGCCATGCACTTGCCATTCCTGGAATTCGATTTGGCAGATCTCAGTCTGCCTTGCAATGCTGCCCTTTGAACAGCTACAAAGTAACACAAAATGGAGGCATTTCTAACTTGGAAGAAAGAGTTTCTGTCTTTTAAAAGATTGGCAAGGTGCAAGCAAAAATATTAAACTCAAAGAAATCCTATGAAGGTGATTGATAGAAACAACTTAATTTATTTGCTCTAGGTATGAACTTCTTTAGCTATGATATCATTTCCAGTCCAGTTCAGCAACTGAGGAAACAATCTGTGAGCATATAGGTGAGGCACTGTGCTAGGTTCTGGGGAGAGATATGAAGATGTGTAAGACATGGTCTTGCTCTTTCTCTCTCTCTCTCTCTTTTTCTTTTCTTTTAAAGACAGGGTCTTGCTCTGTCACCTAGGCTGGAGTGCAGTGGCACAATCTCAGCCCACTGCAACCTCTGCCTCCCAGGCTCAAGTGATCCTCTTGCATCAGCCTCTGAGTAGCTGGGACTACAGGTGTGCACTACACACCTGGCTAATTTTTGTATTTTTTATAGAGATGGGGTTTTGCCATGTTGCCGAGGCTGGTCTTCAATGATGAGCTCAAGCAATCCACCCACCTCAGCCTCTCAAAGTGCTGGGATTACAGGTGTGAGCCACTGTGCCCGACCAACATGGTCTCTCCATTAGGAATTTTACAGCTTAGTGGAAGAGACAGGCAAATTTTTGATGAAGAAAAGATAATTTTCAATATTGTCTTTCCTTTTCTAGAATGAAAGCAATTTTCTCCTAGTTTTGGATGCCAAGAACTTTGAAGAGTTGGGCCGAGCAGAGGTACCTGTGCAGATGCCTTATGGATTCCATGGTACCTTCATACCCATCTGATGGGACAACCACAAGGTCTGGAAACTAGGTTTAAAATAAGTGTGCACTTGGACATAAAGACTAGAGCAATAGACACTGAGGACACCAAAAGGGGGGCAAGGAGGAAGAGGGGCAGGGGTTAAAAAGCTACCGATTGAATACTATGTTTCCTATTTGGGTGATGGGATCATTAGAAGCCCATACCTCAGCATCACACAATATACTCATGTAACAAGTCTGCACATGTACCCCAGAATCTAACATAAAAATAAAAAGAAAAACAAAGAATGTACTGTATAGAAAAGACAGAGCATAAAGGGCACCGTACCTCCCAAACCAATGTCCCAAATAGACATTTGGTTTAAAAATTTCTGTTAAAACCATAATTCACTATTTCCTTGCCACTGCCAAGTCACGCCATGGCAGAGGCTCGAGTGCATATGAGGTTCTGTTTTACCTTTAATACACCATCATGGCCAACGGAGGCATTGCTGCTGGAGGTGTCATGGCCATTAACACTACTTTATAAGAGGTGCAGAAGACTGCCCTCACCCATGATGGCCTAGCATGTGCAATTTGTGAAGCTGCCAAAGCCTTAGACAAGCGCCAAGCCCACCTTTGTCTGCCTGCATCCAACTGCAGTGAGCCTATGTATGTCAAGTTGGTGGAGGCCCATGGTGCTGAACACCAACTCACCCTAATTAAGATTGATGACAACGAGAAACCAGGGGAATGGGTAGGCCTCTGTAAAACTGAGAGGGAAACCCCCGAAAAGTAGTTGGCTGCAGTTGTGCAGTAGTTAAGGACTATGTCAAAGAATCTTAAGCCAAGGATGTCATTGAAGAATATTTCAAATGTAAGAATGAACAAATAAAACTTTGGCACTCATGTTTCTTTCTTTCTTTTTTTTTGAGATGGAGTCTCACTCTGTCACCCAGGCTGCAGTGCAGTGGTGTGATCTTGGCTCACTGCAAGCTCCACCTCCCAGGTTCACGCCATTCTCCTGCCTCAGCCTCCCGAGTAGCTGGGACTACAGGCGCACGCCACCCTGCCCGGCTAATTTTTTTGTATTTTTAGTAGAGATGGGGTTTCACCGTGTTCGTCAGGATCATCTCAATCTCCTAACCTTGTGATCCGCCTGCCTTGGCCTCCCAAAGTGCTGGGATTGCAGGCATGAGCCACTGCACCCAGCCGGCACTCATGTTTCTTAAGAAAAAACACCACAAAGCAGAATTCATAAGATAACTATGGTTTTATATATATATTTTAGGGCTCTTCCTTGAAATAATTAAGAAAGTATTGATACAACCTTTTGAAGAGAGTTTTAAATTTCATTTATTGGATATATTTTCCTCTACGTAATAATAAGAATACATGAAAGAAAAATTCATGCATTTTGGTCATTACCGAAAGAATTAAAGAAAGATGAAAGAAACATGAAAAGTGGCTTGCCAGATAAGACAGGTTTATTTTAGAGAAAACAAACACGAGAGGAGCCTTTTGACTGAGTTAGGTTACTTTTTTTTACAGACTAAGAGTTTTTAAGGGTTCAGGGTGGGAGAGTTTATTAGAGGCTTGGACTGCTTCTGTGTTTCTTTGTTGTGCTTATTTGGGAGGGAGAGTTGTGTTTTTTTGTTTGTTTGTTTGTTTTGTTTTTTTTTCCAGCTGCAGATATACCCCCCAAGTCTGCTTTTAGCTTCCCTATCTTAGTGCCCCTGAAGGGAGAGGAATGTCCTTATTAAGGCCCATTGTATGAGGGTGAAATTTGGCAGTTACCCAAGAGACTTTCCCCCTACTTCCCTCTGTGCCCGAGCTGTTTTATTTGTGTTTAACTGGCTGCTTTTTCTGTTTGCTTATAGTTAGAAGTGATTTCCTTGAAACACATAAGGCTAGAAAGGGAGTTGGAACTTAAAGTGGCGGTTTGTCCAAAATAAAGGTGCTCCTGCCCTGTCAATTACCATCATCAGATAGGTGGGTGACAGAGGTCCTAGGAGAAGAAATACAGATGATCATAGATAGTAGACTTTGAATATAAATCTGAAAAGCACTTCGTTCTTTCCATCACAGTCTGCCTGTCACCATTGGTCCTAAGATACTCAGAAGACAGGAAGCTGGCTATATCCTGCATGGAGGCTTCTTCTAAACTGTTTTTTTCTCTGCTGTCCACAGCAGATGCTACTGCAATTGCACAACCTCCTATGGACCACCCACTACCCCCACCCCACCTTCAGCTCTGCTTTGGGAGGTTATTTTGAGGAACATCATTAAAATCAGGCATTTCTTCTAATCTCTAGGTGTATAGTTCTCAGGGATTGTTGACAAGCCAGTAGTTCTTCATTTAATTGGACAACAGGTGGCACTAGAGACCATATAATCTCCACATTTCTAAACCCTGCCTGTTCTTACCAACAGCTGTAAGCAGGCAAGGTCTGTCACTTAAACCACACTCTTGCCAACACCCCTAAAATCCCTTGTTCCTTTTTCCTTCAGTTACATTCCCTTCCCTCTGCTGAACTCCATTCCAGGACCAGTTAAACTGTTTATGCTCCTTCTGCATGGTGAATGCTCTGGAGAAGACCCCCAGACATACAATATGGGGCACCTTTGAACTCATGGTTAGGCTCTCTGCACGGGCCTGGACTAACATAGTTTCCTGTCTAATTTTCCTTAAGAGTCACTTCAAACTTCACAGACCCTATCTTCTTTAGTAATGTGTTCCATACATGCAAATGCCATGTGTGGGGTTTTGCACTGTGGCAATAAAGTAAAAGGGCTGAGTTCCATGTCTGGGTTTGTGAGATGCAGAACATAGTAGCAGGTTTAGAATGGCAAGAAGATGCCTAAACAGAAGGAATACAGCAGATGCAGGAGCGAAGAGCCTCAGGTAACCGAGAGTGTAAGTCCCCCACTGTTTCCTTTCACACAAGTCCCTGAAAAGGCATTCATTGTACTTCCTCAGACAAAACATGGAGATTTGATTGATCTTCCTAGATCTGAAGGGTGAAGGAGACTCTGGATGACCTCTGGCAAGTCCATAGATCTGTCACATCTTTCCTCTGTTTATAAATATCTGTCTTAATACACAGGGAATGAAGTTCAGACATATGAAGGATAGCAGTATAATCATAAGATTTTGACCTAAGGATACCTGAATTCTGCCTTGGCTCTGCTCTCTGTTTCCTGAAGGAGAAGACAAAAAAGGATCAGTGGCATGTTATAATCTAGGCACATATGCCGGTAATCCAAGGGAGAAAGTTCTGGTAAAATTGAGTGAGCTTATGACCAAGGCCCAAAGCATAGGCTGGGCCTCTTCTTCTCCCTAAGCCCAACTCCTACCACTAGCCAGTGTCCGAAGATTCAAGGAAAGGGAATAAGTGGTGCACAATTGAGGAAAAGGAAGAGGCAAATGGGCAGGTTGGGTCCTCCACAGGATGCAAGCAGTAGAAAAACATATGAACCAGCCAGCTACCTTGGGGCAGGGTGGGAGTAGGGGAGAACTTTGGCTTGATTTTTTTTTTTTTTTTCCTCTGAGGATAGCTTTGGAGAGTAAGCAACACTATATATGGTACTTTTAACACATTGTAGGCCTGCTTGTGAGTAAACAAGGCCCAACCAGTGCCTGGAAATGTGATTTAAGCAGATGAAAATTCCCTTTTTGTGGGGAGCTAGGAGGGAGATAAGGGGGTGAAGCTTCCTTTCCTTTATACTTAAATGGCATTCTAGGCCTTTCAATAATTTGGTCCCCAGTCAATGTTTCCAATCTTACCTCTCACCTATCTCTCCATTGTAGCCAAGAACTCGTCAATATGCACTAAACAAGCTGTACTTTTCCACATTTCCTTTGCTTACATTGTCTTCTCTTCCTGGAATTCCCTTATCTACCTGGTGAATCTTAAAATCCAGCTCAAAAGTCATCTCTTCTTTGAAGCCTTCTTTTACTTCCTGAGGGAGAGCTAGTGGGTTTTTTTAGTTTATCATGATTTATTTCTGTGTTTAGCTCCCTCACTAGCTTGAACTGTATGAGGACAGGGACCATGTGTTTGTTACTCATACTGCGCCCCTGGCACTTAGCAGTGCACTTGGCATTCAGTAGATGTTAAATAAACACTTCTTCTTCTTCTTTTTTTTTAACTTAGTAAGTGAATGAGGACTGGAAGGTGATAGACATGGGGCCTGCCTTGCCAATATATGTCCATTGGAGTATCTTATGGGATCTTTTTTTGGGGGGGGGCTTGGGAGGGTTTATTAAGCGATGCTTTAGTTTCAGTCTCTGCCAGCAACTAGGGGTGGGGTGACTCCACTCACCCCAGGATTTCCCAGACTTGCTGCTTTAGAGGACAGAGGCAGGAAGCCAACTATCCTCTAAGCCACAGCTTGGGAAGCTAGGCTAGTACCGGGGTGGGGGCAGCAGAGCTGAGACCCTCCACCCTCAGCCCCCAGCCTGTGCTATCCTCCCAGCCTGAGGGGGAGGAGCTGAGGCAATCTTGGCTGCAGCCTCCCACACACAGCCCTGCTCTTGGTGCACTGTTCACTGCCCTGAGTTATTCATGATCTCTGCTCCCACATATTCACCTCCACACTCCAAAAGCCAGCCCCACACCCAGCCCCTCCAGGTCTTTAGTCCTGGGGAGGGCAAAAGGAGGGACAGGGGGCCTCTCATTGAGCAGCTTCAAGGAGCCTCTCCTTTCTGTTGCCCACTGAATGCCAGCCCCTTGTCTTCAGCCCTCCCTTAGATAGGAAGGGGTGGTGGCCTCAGACTGCACCCCCTTTCTTCTCTTCCTGGCATCCCATTCTGTCCCAGCACAGCAGCCAAGAGCACAAAGCACAGCACCTGTGAGGCTGGTGGGCACAAGAGCCCATGCTGGCACAGGCCAGACTGCCTGCAGCCCTAGGTGGGGCCTGCTCCCTGCCCTGGAAGCTAGACAGAGGGAGACAGAAAGCAGTAGTGGGGCAATGGGATGTGCAGCCCCTGTGGCAGGAGGAGGAGCACATGAACCCTGACCCTGCTACTTGGTGCAGGCTACTCCAGGCCTCGCTTCTGTAAGAGCCTCTGTGGCTGGCTCCACAGCTGCCCAGCCCCCATAAAGGGGGCTGAAAGGAGGATGAGTGGTCCTTGAAGAGGTGAAGGGTCTGCAGAGAATCACTCAGACACCAGGTATTACCCAGCTCTTCCCGCAAGACCTGGAGGGTCCAAACTCCTGGCCCCAACCACCCTTCACCTTGGGTGAGGAAGAAGGGCCTCTTCTGCTGTTCCTTCCCCTCAGAGATCCAATAAACCACTCCAGTGAAATGCAGGTACCCATGCCTGCCACCTGCCCCTGGAGACAGCAGGGGAGTTGAGGCAGGAAGGCTGGCCAGGGGCCCTTATGGGATCTTTTAATAGAAGTTAGCCTTCTGAGACAACACAGCCAAGCACAAGCCAGTAAGTGTTGCAAGAGTGAAGTGGGAACTATACCTAAATGGCTGTTGATCTCAAAGAACTGAAAGCTAAAAGAAATGTTATTTTCTTATTGGTTAGTGTGTTAGTCTGCTATGGCTGCCATAACAAAGTACCACAGAGGTCTTAACAGAAATGAATTGTCTCACAATTCTAGAGGCTAGAAGTCTAAAATCAAAGTTGGTTTGTTCCTTCTGAGGGCTTTGAAGAAAGAGCTGTTCCAGTTCCCTCTTCTGGGCTTGCAGATGGTGTTGTCCGTGTCTTCACATCATCTTCCCTCCGTATGTGTCAGTTTTTGAGTTCAAGTTTCCCCTTTCTACAAGAACATCAGTCACGTTGGATTAGGGCTCATACTAAAGACCTCATCTCAATACATGTGCAACAATCCTATTTCCAAACAGGTTAAACTTCAACTCTGCAAATGCAGTGAAATATTTTACTAAAACAAACAAGTATTATTAATAAAAACAATTTTGCAGACATTTCTCTTACTCTTTCATTTTATTTTGATTCTTTTTTTTTTTTTTTTTTTGAGACGGGGTCTCGCTCTGTCACCCAGGCTGGAGTGCAGTGGCCGGATCTCAGCTCACTGCAAGCTCCGCCTCCCGGGTTTACACCATTCTCTTGCCTCAGCCTCCCGAGTAGCTGGGACTACAGGCGCCCGCCACCTCACCCGGCTAGTTTTTTGTATTTTTTAGTAGAGACGGGGTTTCACCGTGTTAGCCAGGATGGTCTCGATCTCCTGACCTCGTGATCCACCCGTCTCGGCCTCCCAAAGTGCTGGGATTACAGGCTTGAGCCACCGCGCCCGGCCTATTTTGATTCTTTAAGCTGGTTTTGGAATGAGCAACTATTTGTGTAACCACTGACTGCTAGAGAGTATTTATCATTGAGATAGTCCATACCTGGGAAATAATGTTTCTGTTCTGAGTGATCTTGCAATAGTAATTCACTTATCTGGGGCTGTATTTTCTTATCTGTAAAGTGAAAGTATTGAATTAAATAGTCTATCTCAAAAATCTCTACATGTTCTTTGAAGTTTTTTCTTTACAGTACAATGGGGTAGATGAAACAAACATCTGAAAATGTATGGAGAGTGTTTGCTAAATAACCTGTTAGTAGATTAATGCAGAACAAACAGAATATATAGCTATAAGTAGGAGATATTTGAGGGAAATCACCATTTGAGCTTATTTCTATTACCCCCATGATTTTATCTTTCTTTTTAAAGAAAACTTTTCCAAGTCCGTTATTAATCACTGACTTGTCCTGCTTTTCATCATTTGATTTTTCTCATATACAGTGGAGCTGTCCTCCCCAGTACCTGGAACAATGCCAGCCACATAGTAGATTCCCAATAAATATTTAATGAAAGAATGAATGGAAGCAAGAGGTGACATGATTCTAGGAACTGTGTGTACTTTGGACACCCTTGTGAGTAGATGTGAGGAAACAAGATCCTTTCACTCTCAATGTGTCTACACTGGCAGAAGAATTGCTAATATGTGTTCAGGGGTGCCTTTGTTCACACTATGCCACCCAGAGTGATAAATGGGTCCATACACACTTGTGGATAAGAATGTCTTTAGAATTTCCATTAGTAAGAATCATTACATAACAGTCAAAAGGACTGTTGCCACGTGGTCTTATTTGTGCTCTCAAATTCCTGTTCTTTTAAAAAAATTTTTTAAAGAAATGAGGGTCTTAATCCTATGCAAAAAGAACGAAGCTGGCAGCATCAGGCTACCTGACTTCAAACTATACTACAAGGCTACAGTAACCAAAACAGCATGGTACGGGTACCAAAACAGATATATAGACCAATGGAACACAACAGAGGCCTCAGAAATAACACCACACATCTATAACCATCTGATCTTTGACAAACTTGATAAAAACAAGAAATGGGGAAATGATTCCCTATTAAATAGTGCCGGGAAAACTGGCTAGCCATATGTAGAAAGCTGAAACTGAATCCCTTCCTTACATCTTATACAAAAATTAACTCAAGATGGATTAAAGACTTATCTAGACTGAAAACCATAAAAACCCTAGACGAAAACCTAGGTAATACCATTCAGGACATAGGCATGGGCAAGAACTTCATGACTAAAACATCTAAAGCAATGGCAACAAAAGCCAAAATAGACAAATGGGATCTAATTAAACTAAAGAGCTTCTGCATGGCAAAAGAAACTACCATCAGAGTGAACAGGAAACCTACAGAACGGGAGAAAATTTTTGCAATCTACCCATCTGACAAAGGGCTAATATCCAGAATCTACAAAGAGCTTAAACAAATTTACAAGAAAAAAATCAAACAACCTCATGAAAAAGTGGGCAAAGGATACAAACACACACTTCTCAAAAGAAGACATCTATGCAGCCAACAGACACATGAAAAAATGCTCATCACTGGTCATCAGATAAATGCAAATCAAAACCACAGTGAGATACCATCTCACGCCAGTTAGAATGGCAATCATTAAAGTCAGGAAACAACAGATGTTGGAGAGGATGTGGAGAAATAGGAATGCTTTTACACTGTTGGTGGGAGTGTAAATTAGTTCAACCATTGTGGAAGACAGTGTGACGATTCCTCAAGGATCTAGGATTCGAAATACCATTTGACTCAGTGATCCCATTACTGGGTATATACCCAAAGGATTATAAATCATGCTACTACTATAAAGACACATGCACACATTATGTTTATTGCAGCACTATTCACAATTGCAAAGACTTGGAACCAACCCAAATGTCCACCAGTGATAGACTGGATTAAGAAAACATGGCACATATATACCATGGAATACTATGCAGCCATAAAAAGGATGAATTCATGTCCTTTGCAGGGACATGGATGAAGCTGGAAACCATCATTCTCAGCAAACTATCACAAGGACAGAAAACCAAACACCGCATGTTCTCACTCATAGGTTGGAATCGAACAATGAGAACACATGGACACAGGGCGAGGAACATCACACACTAGGGCCTGTCACGGAGTAGCGGGCTGGAGGAGGGATAGCATTAGGAGAAATACTTAATGTAAATGACGAGTTGATGGGTGCAGCAAACCAACATGACATATGTATACCTATGTAACAAACATGCACATTGTGCACATGTACCCTAGAACTTAAAGTATAAAAATAATAATAAAGAAAAGAAAAAGAAAGGAGGGTCTTTCTCCATTGCCCGGGTTGGACTCCTAGGCTGAGGGGATCCCTCTCCTTCCCAATAGCTGGGGCTACAGGAGTGCGCCACCACGCCCGCCTGGCTCAATTCCTGCTCCTTTTGGTCTATAAAGCGGACTGTGGCCGTGGGGCTCATGCGATAGAGTCACCAGCCACTGGAGCTTTACAGGAGAGAGTGGGAGGGGAGCCTCAGAGAGGTCACTCAGTACCCAAAGTGTGCCCAGACGGGCCCTAACTACGTGGCGTGACCTCAGGCGGAGCAAACTGATCAAGGACACCGTGTCCCCACCCACCCTGACCGCTCCAGGGTATGCTTAGGTGTCCGAACTCTTGTTCTCCAAAGAGATTCAAACAGCCGCGAGACACCCCTAACGGTCTCCCGAGGCCGAGATTGTCCGGAGCGGAAGCGGAGCCGCGCTTCCCAGGAGCGCGCCGAAGCGCACTGCGCAGCCGCGGTGGGAGGAGGCACCGGCCGCGCGGCGGGAGAAGGTGCTGGCCGAGTAGTGCACACAGCGCCGGGAAGATGAGCACGGCAGGTGGCGGCCGTCGCCGCCAGGCGCAAGTGTCCCGCCGCATCTCCTTCAGCGCGAGCCACCGATTGTACAGGTAGAGTGTGCACACAAGTGCAGCGCTGGGCGGCGGGCCCCGGGCCCCGGAACGTCACCGGGGCGGGGCTGGGGTCGTGCTGACGTCGGCCTCGGGAGGGGCGCCGGGGCTTCTGGGGCGACGCTGAGTACGGAGGACGGCGCGCGTTGGTCGCGTTCGCTGGTCTTCGGTCGGCCCCGAGCATCGCGATGGCGGCTGGAGTGGCCCCAGCCCTGGAGGAGTCGGGGAGCTTGGTGGTTAACGGAGCCGACTGCGGAGGGCGATGGCCCACGTCTGAGTGTGGGGCCCACGTCCGACTCTGCGACTCGAAGAAATGTCTCTGCCCCTAGGTGTCCCTTGGTGTACGCCACAGGGTTGTTGTGAAGCTCAAGGGTGTTAAACTCGTCTATGTACACAGTACCTGCCGCGGCGTAGACACCCAGTAAATGTTAGCTAATTTTGTATGCCAGGAGCATTGGCGACCATATCTAATGTAATTACAAGGCAAGTTTTAGCGCCTTTTTAACCAAAGACAGAATGAACCCAGTCCCTGGTGGTTTAGTGGCTAGGAGAAAAAAAAACAAAAAACAAAAAACAACGAGCCCAGACGTTCAGTTTCCGAAGCAAGCAGCATAGTTGGGATTTGAAACCCGATCGTACATACCGCTTGCATGCACTGAAGAGTTGATTTTGAGGAATTTTACCACTCACTAACAAGCTCCACTCTCTGGCCTTCCGTATCGTCGTCTGTGAAATAAGGATGACCATTGCTATCTGACGGGATTCATCCCTCCATTCGCTAAACGAGGATTTGTTTCTTGGTTGTCAGGGCTTGTGCTAGGTAACGGATGCATCAGGGGTCTTGTATGGGGTTTCCAATCTGGCCTATTTTGTGGAGGGTACACTGAGAGAATTTTGTGCAAAAGACTTTAGCACTTTAAATACAAGAAGTGGCTGAGCAGGAGAAAGTGGGGGTGTGTTATTCCATTTTGCATTGCCGTAAAGGAATACTGAGACTGGTGTTTTGTAAAGAAAAAAGGTTTATTTGGTTCTGCAGGCTGTACAAGAAGCATGGCACCAGCATCTGCTTCTGTTGAGGCCTCAGGGAGCTTCCACTCGTGGTGGAAGGCGAAGGGGGAGCAAGCAGGCAACTCACAGTGCAAGTGAGGGAGCAAGAGAGAGGAGAGGAGGTGCCAGGCTCTTTTTAACGACCAGCTCTCCCATTAACTAATAGAGCCAGAACTCACTCATTGCTTCAGGGAGGGCACCAAGCCGTTCATAAGGGATCCACCCCCATGAGCCAAACATCTCCCACTAGGCCGCACCTCCAACATTGGGGATCACATTTCAACATGAGATTTGGAGGGGACAAACATCCAAACTACATTGGGGGGAATCATAAAGAGGATCTCAAAAAGAAAGGGATTGTATAGTAAGAGGCATAAACACCTGAGGGTGGTAAGGCCTCATAGAGGATGCAAAATTGAATGGATGTGTATAAGTATAAACATTCATTAAGCAATTTGATTTCCGTCTGAGACAACAGTCAAAGATTGTAATTTTAAAAATTCACCTGCTTTGAATATTCCTCAACAGATTGGTAAAGTTCTCATGAGGCAGTCATTGAGACATAGTATAAAGCAAGATTGTTAAATAGGAGACTTACCAGGTCATGTAATTAAAAAATTTTTTTTTTTTTTTTCTGGATGAGTAGTTTAGCTTCTGAGAGAAATGAGATAGTAAGCCACTTTGCGGATCACCATCTATGTTTATCATTATATGCTGTTATTTCATTCAGCACTTGCCTAATACATTGTAGGCACTCAGTAATGTTGAATTGAAAAGCGGAAGTCCCATGAGCAGATCAGCTGCTGTGGAACAAGGGGCTTGAAGTTAAGGTTTGTTTGTGCTAATTTGTATGGTACAGTCTTCTAATTAGGGAATATGCCATGGTTTCTGACATATACATGAGTAATAAAAATCAACATGATTTCTGACTCCCCGTTTGGTGAGCTAAAGTAATAACAAATTGGGAGACTTTTCAAAGATCAGAGCAAATAATAAATATAAGGAACAGAGAAGGGGGTTTGGATGTGATACTTGTGTCATGCTGACTTTTTTTTTTTTTTTTTTTTGGTTAGTAAATTTCTGAGTGATGAAGAAAACTTGAAATTGTTTGGGAAATGCAGCAATCCAAATGGCCATGGGCACAATTATAAAGGTGAGAGAAAAACTGATGACATTTCAGCCCTTCAATAAGGATGAAAGAGTATTCAGCAAATGTAGACACAATGAATGGGAAAACTTACGGACACAGTGTGAATGCTTTGAGCTTTGAATGAGAAGTTAAATGGGAGTAGAATGAAAGGATCTGTTGTCTTGGTTAGATGTATGTTAAGTTTTACCTTACAATTGTCAACTCTTACAAACAGACCAAAACAATGAATGGTTTAAAGCATTTTTCTTTGTCCTAGAGTACACAATTTCTTTCTGATTAGGTGTGGCTGAGGCTAATGTTAAAATTAGATTTTATTCTTTGAGTAAATAATGACTGACAAAACGAGAATGTTGCCTAGGAATGTAATATATGGCAGAAAAATAGGTTTGGTCTAAAGCTTTGCCAGCAGTATTCCAAGAAAGTAGGTAATTTGTCCAAAGATAAGAGACTTGATTCTTTGAGGTACAGCCTGCCTTAAAAAACAGCTACATAAGCCTTAGAGTATAAAACAGTGTGTGGTGGTGGCATAAAAAAAGACCAGACAAGGTGTCAGATTAGGATTACTGGTTTAGCTACTGCCTCTTCCTTAATCTATGGTATCTCAGTCTCAGTGTACTTACTTATCACATAATACCTAATGATATTTGTATAGAACTAAAATACATACATCCGTAAAAGTTATTAATGTGTAAAGCACTGATCAAGATTTTTTTTTCCTTTTCTTTTTTTTTTTTTTTTTTGAGACTGAGTTGTGTTCTTTTTGCCCAGGCTGGAGTGCAATGGCGTGATCTCTGCTCACTACAACCTCCACCTCCCAGGTTCTAGCGATTCTTCAGCCTCAGCCTCCCGAGTAACTGGGATTACAGTTGCCCACCGCTACACCTGGCTAATTTTTGTATTTTTCGTAGAGATGGGGTTTCACCATGTTGGCCAGGTTGCTCTCAAACTCCAGACCTCAGGTTATCCTCCCGCCTCGGCCTCCCAAAATGCTGGGATTACAGTCATGAGCCACCACGCCTGGCCAAGAGTTTTCAAATGCTTTTCACAAGCACTTTTTAATTTACAAAGCATTACTTTAGACTTTGTATACATTCACGTGAGTAAGGGGATAAGAATTTAAGGCCCAGTAGTATTGCTTGTTCAGAAAGGTACTGTTCAGTATTGGACCAGCTTGCTGTGTAGCTGGACACCTACAAGTACAGTTTCTAATTCTACAGGCAGAGATTGAGCAGCATCTTGATGCTCTCTAGTGCATTAACATTATAAGCAGAATTTACACCCTTTTCAGCCTTGGCTGAGTGCCTCTGCTTAGCCAAAGTTCCTAACTAAGCTCCTTTGTCTTGCTTGCGTCTTGCTTTGGTTGATTTAAAAAAAAAAAATCTTAACTAAAATAACAAATGTTTTGGGGTAAATATTTAAGTATAGCTTTTGGGGACAGATCTAATAATTTATGTTGCCAACTTGTGCTTGTATGTTGCTAACTTGTGCTTGGATGTTAATCTGTTGAAAGTCATGCTGTTTTTTTGGTATTTTGTTTCCTTTCCATAGTTGTGGTGACAGTACATGGAGAGGTATGTGCAGAAAATATTTGTGTGGTTTTTGCAGATTGCTGGGCTCTCTTTCAGCCAGTGTGGTGGATTTTGTGTTGAAAACTGTTCCAGTCAGTATTGCTCATTGTTGGCCCTTGTATATGTGTGTGTGGTGAACTGCTGCCATTCCAGGCCTCTCCTCTACCAAAGTGTTGTCTTTAATGTGCTGTGTGTGGACAGGTAGAAGGGCTATACCATGAAAAGGATGCTTGAAGTACATGGTGCTTCCATGCTGAGGTCAGTGATTATCTCTGGGATGAAGGCAAATGTGGGCACAGTCTCTGCATACTGTACTGCCTTTAATAATTTGCCAGCTGTTTAATATGGAAAGCCTATGAGAGTAATATTCACCTTTGTTTATTCTTTAGATTGACCCTGCTACGGGAATGGTTATGAATTTGGCTGATCTCAAAAAATATATGGAGGTAATGGCATGTTGGGTGCTTATTATGTGCTATTCCCTAAGTATGATATTTGGTGGCCCCCTATCTACCTCCCCAACCAGTTATATCCTAAGGCTCCATAACTCTGTGAGTAGAATTGGATGTGGGTGTTGGGGTATAGTTGGAGGAACTACTCGCATGGCCTCTAAAGGTGTTTTGGTGACTTAATGGAAATTAGTCACAGTTGTGTTACAGCGATGGGAGGAAATATAACATACTTACCTTGTATTCCTTGTTGGAATATCCTGATTTCCTTCAGTTAACAAATTCTCCATTTCTTTTAAGTCATAGCTTTCTCCTTGAGACTTACTTTTTTTTTTTTAATAGGCACAGAGCCAATGCAAATTTTTCTTTTTGTAGAGGTAGGGGTCTCACTATGTTGTTTAGGCTGGTCTCAAATGCGTCCTGCCTTGACCTCCCAAAGTGCTGGAATTACAGGCATGAGCCACTGTTCCTGGCCTTCTCCTTGGAGCTTTCTCTTCCCTCTCTGAATATTCCTTGTACTTTTGATCATAGATTTAGATACCACACCATGTTATTCACTCTAGATTTATTATAAACCCACCAGAGCAGTACATCATAGAGATAACACACAAGGGGTTCAGTGAAGAACTTAACTGATTATACCATTATAGAATTCTTGCTTTGTAAGAGACTTTGGAGATTATTCAAACCAACTTCTTCAATCCGTAGATTAAGATTGAGAGATGCTGAACAGTTAACGGACTTGCCGCAGATTGTGTGGCAAGTTATTTGCAAAGTTGGGAGTAGATTTCTTTCCATCCAGCTGTTTATTATGCCGTCATTTCACTTGCAGCTTAGTTTTGTTCTGAAATTTGACATTTGCTTTATTAAAATGATGTTATTAGTGATGTTTACTTCTTTCACATTATTCATATATTCAACAAATTTGTCTACTTTGCATCAGTTTGTGAGCTAAGTATACAAAGATGAATGAGATGTAGCCCACAGAGTGTATACATTCCTTTTTCTAGGAGGTGAAGAATAGTAATTGTTAAATAACTGTTGATTTCATAAATGAGGAAAAGAATGAGTGAATGAAGAAACAGCACTGTGCTCAAAGTACTTTAGGAAAGTTATAGAGATAGGGCCTGCATGCATTTATGGGGCAGGGGTTGGGGGGACCATGGGGGAGAGAGAGAGACAGAGACAGGAGAAGAGGAAAGGAGAGTAGAGGGGAGGGGAGGAGATTAGAGGGGAGGGGAAAGAAAGAAAAAGAAAGAAAAAGAGAAAGGAAAAGAAAAGAAATAAAAAGAAAAGAAAGAAAGGAAAGAGATAAGAAAGCAACATAAAAGCCCTCAACATCTGACTGAATACTGGAGGAGGGGTTCTCTGTGCTGTTTTCTGCTGTTGTGTGCCTGAAGGACACCACACACTTTCATCAGTGAAAGTGACTCATCGTGGCATAGAGAGTGAACTTAGAACCCTACCATGGGGAGAGGATTGCTTGAGCCCAGGAGTTCAAGGCTGCAGTGAGCTATGATTGTGCCACTTGTACTCCAGCCTGGATGACAGGGACCCTGTCTCTAAAAACAAAACAAAAGAAAACAAAAAGTCTGGCATAAGAGGCTTTACTGGAGAAATTGGGACTGGAACTGGGATTGAAGATGAAGCAAAGATACCTATTTTCTTGCTATTCATGTGGAACATCCCTTCATTGGATCTGTTTCAACAACCGTTTGATCTAGGACTTACTCTTTTTGTATGATTCTAGTTTTTCTCAAGAAATGATTGCTATTACTGTTATTAATGTACCCTTCTTGAAACTACACCATATGGAAAATTAGATTTTTTTTCACAAATGCTAGATTTTTTGCAAATAGCTAAAAGCAAAAAGCAAAGAAGGAATAAGGCAATTTAATCCTTGCTGATGATGAGGAAAAACATTATGTTAATATACATGAGCATTAGGGAGTAATAGTCTTTACATATTTGTACTTTTCCTTCTGTGAGCCCAAAACCATTCTTAAATTACTCCTCCTAGCAGAAATTTAGAACTACTTACATAGTTTCGGTCAGATCTGCTTTATAAAATGTAGTAGTCACTGAATCTTTGTCCATGATATTGTGGCATTGTTCCGTAGGTGTGACAGTGTTAGGGAAAAATATTGGTGCTAACTCTTTGGACAGGATTCCCAGAGTGCTAAACTGAATTCTGAATTACAGTGGCTTGTGTTGCGAGAAAGCTCCAGGATTCTCTGCGTTTTGGTTTCTCACCTCTTTTTATTCAGTAACAAGGGTTCCTAATCATTACCAACAGCTGGGCCTGACTTTATTTCACAACTTAAAATTTTGTAAGGTTGCTTTGTAAGACTCAAATCTAGTACTTACAAGTATTTAGTTAGTGGCTAAGTGATAAGGTGAGGTTTAGAGGCATAAGTGTAACAATTTGGAATTTGAGTCATACATGGAGCCAATGATATTTTCCCTTGGTTTTGTCTCTAGGAGGCGATTATGCAGCCCCTTGATCATAAGAATCTGGATATGGATGTGCCATACTTTGCAGATGTGGTGAGGTGGGTGGCACTATACCTTGCTTTATATAGATTGTAAAACAAGAATTGATTTGAATATTTGATTGTTGTGTGATTTCTGAAGTTTTAATTAAATCTTTCAAAACTAGAATTTCTATTCTCTATAAATATTAAACATGAAATTTTATTGTTTGCATTTTGAATTTTTGTTTGTTTGTTTGTTTTCCTATAGCACGACTGAAAATGTAGCTGTTTATATCTGGGACAACCTCCAGAAAGTTCTTCCTGTAGGAGTTCTTTATAAAGTAAAAGTATATGAAACTGACAATAATATTGTAGTTTATAAAGGAGAATAGCTATTAGGGGTTAGCACTGTACAAAGCCCAGTTTCCTTCTGTGTTTGAAAAAGATTTTGATCCCCTTGGAATATTAAGAGGTCAACACGTGATTGTTGTACCTCCACATTGTGCTCTGGAGTCCCTATTTATTGAAATCATTGTAAGACCTGTTATAAATATAAGTCTATTTAAAACTAAACTTGTAATATATTCTGAAAATCATTTAGAGAGTCTTTTATTTATAAATTAAAAATCACTTCATTTCCAGCAAAATGTTTGGTGTGGAATTATTTGAAAGCAAAAGAAATCTAATTTTGTTGTTTTCTCCATTACCTCATTTTTAGTATTCATTTTTACTTGGTATAATATACATGGTTAAAATGCTTATATGACTTCGAGTATGTGAATCTTATAAGAAATAAAATTCAAGTGACCACAAAGTCCGGAGACTATATATATTTTTAATAGATTGAACTCTCTTGATTACTACTTGTTGGGTGTGCTGAAGGCAAAAGTGGATTCAGTGAAAAATCATCTGAGGCAATGTGTTGTGGATACATGTACAAAGATTGATGGAAATGCTGCTTTAGAGCACATCGTTTATTACAATTTTGCACAGCATATTGAATTATGAATTGCTAGTGAGGAACAACACATTAAACATATCATGGAATATCAGTAAATTATTTATTCAGTGTATTCATCTGAATTTCTGAACCTTATGGGCACTTGAATAATTTTAACTCAGAAGACTGCAGAATTATCATATATTTTAAACTCTACAGTCAGCATAAAAAGGATCAACTACCATATAAAGTATTTCCTGTGTGTAGTTTTTCCTAATTGATCCCATTTTGTTCTGGTTTTAAACTTACGATATTCTTGGCATTCTTCTCTGGGATCTTTTCCTCGTGACTAAATCCACAAGAAAGTATTTGCTGACTTTGCACAAAAGACGTTCTGTGTTCTTGTTTGTATTCTAAATTTCTTAAATGCAGGGTTCTGATTTTCTCTCCACATAGCAACTAGCATACAATGAATTCCCAGAATGTTGTTGCCTGAAAATAGTAAAAGGGCTTTTGCAGTGATTACTGTTCTAGAAAAATTTGCAAAGAGTGGTCTTTTTTAGTGATTGCAGAAATACAAAGTTTGACAGTAATGCAAATGGCCACTCAATTATATTTAATGTATTTTAGTTATCAGTTTGAATGTTCTATATGTAGGATGTTTTGTATTGATTACCTGAAAGGCAGATCGCTATTATTTATGAAGGCACTTTATGTTTTAATTCACACAAATACCCTGCAAGCTGGTGTTCTCATTCTGTTGGTAAGATAATTAAAGTCGAGCGAGTTTAAGCTATTTGCTTTAGATCATTCAGCAAATAAATTGCAAACTGGATGTTTAACATTCAGGTTATTTCTGACTCTGAAACACAGACTCTGAAAAGGGACAATTTGAATATTTACAGATTTTTTGAGAGTCTGATCTTACTTATTTGTTACTCAATTTAATTTTTTTTTTTTTTTTTCTTTTGAGACCAAGTCTTGCTCTGTCACCAGGCTGGAGCACAGTGGCGTGATCTCGGCTTACTGCAACCTTCACCTCCCAGGTTCAAAAAATTCCCCTGCCTCAGCCTCCTGAGTAGCTGGGACTACAGGCACGCACCACCATGCCCGTCTAATTTTTTGTATTATAGTAGAGATGGGGTTTCACTCTTTTGGCCAGGATGGTCTCAATCTCCTGACCTCGTGATCCCCCTGTTTCAGCCTCCCAAAGTGCTGGGATTACAGGCGTGAGCCACTGCGCCCGGCCAAAAATCTTATTTTTGACTGGATTCAGACTGAGAAGTAGAGGCTCGCAGTGAGGACAGTCTGTGTCTCTCGGCCGTCTGTTCCTGGCACTCTTCTTTAGCCTCCTTCATTCTCTTGGCCAAAAGTTTAGCATATTCTGGAGCCTCTTCCTTATTTTTCTTAATACACTGTTTCTTCATAGCAATATGCTGGCGTTTGTGCTGCAGGACACGTGGAGGAACAAGATGCTGAATCTTGGGTACTTTGGTCCTAGGTTTCTTACCTTCTTTGTTTAAGTGCTTGCTTATGACATACTGGCAGACATCATCTTCTTGAGAGAGATTGAAAAGTTTGCGGATTCTGCTAGATCTTGGGCCCCAGGAGATGAGACACCATAGGATTAGCCCAGGAATATCCTTCTCTCCTTATTTATTTATTTATTTATCTATCTATCTATCTATCTATTTATTTTGAGATGGAGTCTTGCTCTGTCGCCCAGGCCAGAGTACAGTGGTGCAGTCTCGGCTCACTGCAGGCTCCACCTCCCAGATTCACCCCATACTCCTGCCTCAGCCTCCCGAGTAACTGGGACCACAGGCGCCCACCACCATGCCCGGCTAATTTTTTGTATTTTTAGTAAAGACGGTGTTTCACCGTTTTAGCCAGGATGGTATCGATCTCCTGACCTTGTGATCCGCCCGCCTTGGCTTCCCAACGTTCTGGGATTACAGGCATGAGCCACCGCGCCCGGCCCCTTCTCTCCTTTTTTTTAAACAATAACCAATTTGAGAATGCTCGGATTGGCATCCACAATGCACACTTGAACAGATTATTGCTTTCTTTCTCCAGTTCTCCCGGGTCTATAACAGGAATGCCCCTTACCCAGCAGCAGGCAGACATGGCCATGGGTCAAGACATGGGCCTGCTTCATGAGGAAACCTTGTTCCCACCACTGAATCAGACTGTGTAACCCTTCCAGTGTTTACCCAGAGCGCCAGCAGCAACTTCTGTGGCCATACGCTTCTCATAAAAAGCATGGTTTGCTTTTTATCTTGAAATTTTACCCATTCAGTATTCCTTCCCTGTTTTCTCCTGAGTTCCAAACCACCTTTCTCCCTACCTCATCACTGAAGCATCTTGAAGCAGCTGATCGCCTCTGAGGTGTCATGAAAAAGAGGCACGACTTCTGCTTTCATTTTTTATTTCTATTTTTATTTATTTATTTATTTTTTGAGACAGCGTTTCACTCTGTCGCCCAGGCTAGAGTGCAGTGGTGCAATCTCAGCTGACTGCAACCTCTGCTTCCTGGATTCAAGTGATTCTTGTGCCTCATCCTCCTCAGTAGCTGGGACTACAGGAGCACACCACCCCGCCTGGCTAATTTTTGTATTTTTTGGTAGAGACGGGGTTTCACCATGTTGGCCAGGCTGGTCTTGAACTCCTGACCTCAAGTGATCCACCTACCTCGGCCTCCCAAAGTGCTGGGATTACAGGTGTGAGCCACTGTGCCTGGCCACATTTTTTTTTTTTTTTAATGCGGAATTTTGCAGATCTGATACCATATTAGAAAAACATGGTTCACAGTAACATTAACACTCTAGGTATTTGTTCATGAGTTGCTTCAAGAGAACTTTTGTTCCTACATGCCAAATAAGTAAATATTCTTAATGTAGAGAAGGAAAAAAATCATCATGGGGTGATGAGGTTTGGAAAAGCTTAGTGGAGGAATGGTACTTTCAGTGATGGGGTAGGGAGAGTGGTGGTTTGGAACTCAGGAGAAAAGAGAGAATGAATACTGAATGGGTAAAATTTCATTAGCACAGTTACTAGGGTGGGAATATACAAAATATATTTGGGTTATAGCGAATATATTGATCTTAGTAGAGTGGTAGTGAGGTGTGGGAGTGTAATGAGAAATGAACTTGGAAATACAGGTCGGAGACAGCCTGGAGGGCCTTGAATGTCAATCAGTCTTTATCTTTTGAGGAATAGCAAGCTTTTTGTTTTTAAAGAAGATAACCAGGTGGACAAAGGAAAATGAGGAGACTATTTGCAAAACTGTTGCAGGAATCTAGACATGAAGCGATGGGTGCTTGGACCGTGGGGGTGGCAGTGGAAATAGATGGAAGGAGGAGAATAGAGCTAATTGTGCAGTGCCCACTATGGTGTCAGGCATTTTGCTAAATACTTCTTATATGACCTCATTTCATCCTCATAACCACCCTGCTGGGTGAATGTATTAGTTACCTACTGCTGCGTAACAAATTACTCCCAAACATAGTGGCTTAAAACAGCACACATTTATTATCTCAGTTCTGCATACCAGAAGGCCACCTCTGGCTCAGAGTCACTCATAAGACTGCAGTCATCTCAGGGCTTGACCAGGAAGGATCTGCCTCCCAGCTCACTCCCATACTTGGTGGTTGGACTGAGGCCTCAGTTCCTCCCTCTGTTTCTTGCTGTGTAGGCCTCTTCACAGAGCATCTCCCAACATGACGGCCTGCTTCAGCAGAGCAGGTAAGAGGGTAAGGGAGAGTGCCACCATGATCGAGGACAGTCATTTGTAAGCGAATCGCTTTTTCTGTATTTTGCTCCTTTGAAGCAAGTGACTCCATCCAGTCCATACTCAGGGAGAGGGGATTAGACATATATTGCTAATGTGCACATTTTGATGTGGAGATATCAGGTGATAAGACTGGAGAGGTAGGCAAGGACTATATATCATGCCCTTTTTGATGCCAGGGAAGTAAAGCACATTTCATTTCACAGGAGTGAAATGTCAGAGCAGCAGCTGTTGTTTACAGTGGGAATTGTGGAGTTTGTGGGTGGTAGAGGAGTATAGAAATCTTGGAAGCACAACTCTTGAAGTTAAAACCAATTCTAAGGTGAGAAGTTAAAAAATACCACCATA